GCAAGGGCATCACTGTAGTCAGTCTCATATGCATGTAGTTCGTCGAGGAGGTAGCGAACGAGTGTATCACGCTGAAAATAGACACAATGAGAAAAAAATGCTGCATCAGTCAAGTGTCAGTCATAAGAATATGAGACATACCTGCTCGCCATCAGCCCATCCCCCCCACCAACGAACTTTAGCGAGTGTCCACCGCTGGCCCACTGGAGCAAACATGAACCAATATTGCGCACCTCCCCGACGAAAGCAGTGAGTTGAGAAGTTACCACGGATGCCAGCGCCAGCGGTTGACTCATTGATCCATTTTTGTACCGTATCGTGAGAGATTGGCTGTCCAGGATGCACAACACCATTTGCACTCATCGCAGGAAAAATGAAGTCGTTCGGCTGGAGAGTTCGCCCGTAGTGAAATGATTCAAGCCACTTGATCCAAACTAACATCCAGAAGAAATTGTCGCAGGCTGGCATGTTGGGGCGTGGATAAATCTTGTAGTGATTTGCTGCCAGTGGTGAGGTCATTTAGTCATCCGGCTTCGATTTAATGTGAGCAACTCACATCTCAGATCTGCTTCCCATTGGCCCTTGTCCACCTTCTTTTGCCATCCTTTCCGGTGAGCGAGAAAGATCTCGAAGTATGATGTGCATTTACTCAGCGTGAGTGTCTCGTTTGCAAGGTACACGCCGAGCACCCCATCCAAAATAGTGGTATCAAGTGAGATATCCTTTCTTTGCAACTTTACAAGCTCAAAACACCTGCGGGCAAGTTAGATCGCGCACGTGCTGCGGAAAAGCTAATCAGATCTCACCTTGTCCATAACGTCCATCCGTTCGATGCGAACGTGACTTGTTCAAGATGGCGAGTAAGTTTTGTCCTCATTTCCAAGTCCAGGTGCATATCCGAAGGCCGAGCACCACTCATCACCTTCTGAATCATCTGTAGTGCAATCTCGAGTGGACACACAGCCTGGTGCCATCGGAATGCCCGATCCATGTAGTCCTTCGTCATTGCCATTGAGTGAGTGCGATCTCCTCCCTCGGCACTTGCCTTATGCTTGATGGATGACAGCACATCATAAATGTCTGCAGAATCAGCAGGGTTTCCTTCCCAGCGCTGCTTCGCCTCATTGAAGTGCCATTTGCCACGATAGGTATCACCATCTCTAAAATGTAAGTCAGTGCTCGTATGCTCTAATTTGTGTACGATAATACTCACGATAGCTCCCACAGCTTCTTAAATGCCGAACGGATGCTCTCGACAGTAGTTTTGCTGAGGTTCTCATGGAACCCTTTCAGGGACATGAAGAGCGCCAGTGCTTTGTCAGAGCATCTGTTCGGGATGCTCTCAAATGCATATTTGAAGGCCGGGTCCTCATACACGTCATTGTCGGCATGTATTTCGGCAGTTGCAGGCAACAGAACGAGTGAGTTTTCAGACGTGTCACCCCTCCAAGTCTCGCTGACAGCAGAACAGCTCGGGGTTTCGAAATGGCTTGCCAACCATTCCCGTCCACGCCGAACATGCCCAGCATAGTTCATCCTTGTGTTATTTGCCTGAAGGTGAGTTTTTATTCCATGTTCCTTACACTTTTGGACGTCTGCTAAAGCTGTCTTCGCAGCAGCTGATCTCGTCTTTCGCCCAGCTTTCTTCTGAGCAGTGTCTGGCAGCTGGGGGGCTTTCGCGGAATCCTTCTTGAGTCGTGCCATACTTTGTGAACACGAACGAGTGAGTGTGGCACAAAGGTAGTTCAAAATTTCGGGACGGAGATCATTGTCAGGGGCCTCTAACTAGTTAATGACAATTTCACATTTCACATTTCACACTATTTAGATTAGGAGACGACAATTGATTGCACTAGGCACTAATATACTGCTGCACTACTTGGGGAGCCATATGATCCAGTATTGTTGCCGGAAGACGCATGTACGAGGGAGAGAATTTCCCTTGAGCTGAGTTGCCTAGGGTGTTGTGTGCCAACCACCAACCATCGACTTTGATATTATAAATAGCGATATCATGCCGCAATGCCATCAACGTTCCACGAGCAATTATTTTGAACACCGGCCGGCGGTCTGTGTGGTCCGCATGCTGACGGGGCAACTAAAACATGAGTTAGAGTCTATAAAAATTGAACCACATGTGCCGCCTACCTTGCATATGGTGCGGAGACATGCACCCTCCCACACACTCCCGTGCATCTTGTCAATGATGGCATCATCGTCCCAGCCCAACTGCAGCCTGCAGAAGTCTGCAAGGTCTGCAAGATGTGGCTGGGAGGACGACACGTCCAGTAGCACATTCTCTGCGGCTGAAAAAGATGTCGGAGGATGGACATATTTGTCGATCACTGCACGATGTGGAAAATCGCATGGGATACAATCTGCGACAGCCTTATACCGACGCTTGAGGTCATGGTAGGGGTCATTGGTGAGCATAGTGCGTAGTTCATCGACGAGGTCCTCCGCACGCTCAGAGAACTCCTCCGGCAGCATAGACAGGAATGCGCAGAGCATATTCTCGCCAATTCTGCTGCACATAGCAACCTTGTGAGCAATCTCAATTCCACAACCAGGCACCCCTCTATCATAGTCTCCGCCCACCAGGAGGGCAATGAGCAGCCGATCTCCTCGGGTCAAGGAGGCACCATGCTCGAGACCATCCTCCGTATACACTTGAACATTGAGATAGTCCTTGTCGTTCTTCGCACTGCGACAAATCAATGGCAAAAGCATGAGAAAAACATGACGGCATACGTTCTAATTATGCACACAGCTCCGAAGATCAGAACATCACTGTCCTCGGTCATCACAGCGTCAATAACACCATGGGTGTTCATGGCAGCCAATTCGGCTTCGGCTTCACTCGGGGCCTGGGGAGTGGTGAGACAACAGTCTCATGAGGTGAGGTGAGCAAAACTTACCTCGGTCCACTGAAAGCCAAACAACTCCAGCATGCGCTGGAAGTCGCGGGTGAGCCAGTGGGGGCTGTGTCTGATTGTTCGACCCTTGTCTGGCAGGCGGCTCAGGCCATCGAAGACAAAGACCACATGCAGGGGAAGCTTTAGTAGTACGCCCAGCCGAAAAAACAGTGTTCGGAGTTCCGGTGATTTGCCAGCTCCTGCATGGTTCATCTGAAAGACGGCACATATGCCGTGCATCCATGCGCTAACAACACAAGTCAGTTCACTGCAGACATGTGAAAGAAGAGTAGCACCGTACCTAGCATCAATCCCGATCCTGAACAATTTGACTATGGGGTTGCCACCAATGTATTCGGTCTTCAGTTCTGACAGTGCGAGCTCTTTAAGTGTTCGGTTGTCGGCGGATGTGCTAACGCGCTGCAGATGGCATCAGTACCAGTCAAAGTCAATACCGCCATGGATTTATTTCGCTCACCTCCCATAGCCCTTGGATGCCCATGCTGAGCTGTGATGGTAGTGCAGAAGTAGAAATTCTTGAAAAGGGGGCAGCCAGAGAGGGGCCAGCTGATGTCAGCTGACCGCTGCTGAAAGCAGCAGCCTTGGTCAAGACATCAGGCTGGCTGCCCAAGTATATTGAGACTGTCTCAGTGGGGACGGTGGTGTTGCGCTCGATGAGAGCGGTCATGACACCACCGGCGGTCTCAATACCGAGCAATAGAGGAGAGACATCGAGAAGCAGGAGATCTTGGGTCTTCTCAGAGGTGTCGCCAGAAAGGATGGCAGCCTGAATGACAGCGCCGTATGCAACAGCCTCATCAGGGTTGATGCTCTTGTTGGGCTCCTTGCCATTGAAGAAGTCGGACACGAGCTTGACGATACGGGGAATACGAGTAGAACCACCGACAAGAAAAATTTCGTGGACATTGGCCTTGTCGATCTTGGAATCCCGGAGAACCTTCTTGACGAGTTCGAGCGTGCTGCGGAACAGGTCCGCGCACAGCTCTTTGAAATGGGCACGAGTGAGGGAAGTGTAGAAGTCGATACCCTCGAAGAGGGAGTCGATTTCAATGGAAGTCTGTGTAGCCGACGACAAAGTACGCTTAGCACGCTCGCAAGCAGCCCGTAGACGACGGAGAGCATGAGGGTTGGAGGAAAGATCTGCATCGATGTCATTAAGCACCGGAGTAAATAACTAGGTTAGAAGATAGACTCACCCTTCTTGTGCTTGCGCTTGAATTCTTGCGCGAAGTGGTTGACGAGACGGTTGTCGAAATCCTCACCACCCAAGTGAGTGTCACCAGCAGTGGCCTTCATCTTGAAGTTACCCTCCAATGGGTGGTGCGAGTGGAAGTGCAGTAGTCCAGAGGCCCTGTATAATGTGAGTACTGAGAAGCATGAGGAAAAAAAATGACATACAGTATTTCTTCTCCAGGGGAGTTGTTGTTGCGTTGTTGGCAGCATTCACCTCCAGCGTTGTGCACGACAGTGACGAAGAAGGTTCAGAGCGGAGGAAAGCTCTGTCACGTGACTGGAACACAGCCGCACCTGTTTATGGCAGCTGTGTAGGATGAGTTCGAGGGAGAGAAGGAGAAGGTAGAGATAAGGGAGTGTGAGTGCAATACATTAATGTAAAGTCCAGTAAAGTGTGATTTTGAGTCAGTAAAGTGAGGAAAGTGCGGGACAGTGAGAAATACACGGTAAATTTTGTAAATTTTGTAAATTCCGAACTTCTGGGCAGGCTCCCTCCCTGCGGATGTGCCCGGTGCCACGTACTTGTAAATTTACATGCAAGCTCCCTCAAATCTATCATTTTCGTTCACATATGCTTGCCTATGTTTTACGAGTGTATTTTCTCGTGTTTCCGCTCTAGTTTTACTTAGCATTTCTCATAGACTGTAGATAGTACTAGTACTGCCACCAGGCGGCAATTCTCGAGTTCATCTTGGGCTAGAATAAGGCGTCACGTGACTTTTTAGGATTCCTTTTTTTTTATAGAACGAATCTCAGACGAACCCCCTTTACAGAATTTACGTTAGCTAATCGTGAATTTTTCCAGATATCCTGACTTATCCGGCCTTGCAAGTTATTTTTTGCTGTGGAAAAGGATGCGTTATATTAGCCGGTTCGGTCCGGAATCCTATGGAAAAACGAACACTGCCACTCACTGGCAGTGCCAGCTTTCACTTCAATCCGTTTCAAAGATTCGTGTCAGTAGTTTCAGGCAACTCTAGTGGTTTCTTTCAATGAGCGAGGTCGTAAACGCTATCGTCGCTTTTGCAGTCATCGTCATCATTTTCCGATGGGCGACTTCATGTAAGTGACGAGTCATCGAGTCATCTAATATGCTGACGAGTTCCTACGACAGCCAACGACCATTCCAGTACTAGGAGGTCGGCGTCTTCAACTCTTGGCTTCAGGCCGAAGAATGTGACGCAGGAAATGGTTAAGCTGGAACTCTTATGCTGAATTATCATGCTGAATCCCTCCCCGCAGGTCGACCAGATACATTCCATGTTTCCGACCATACCACAGTATGTTCATTCATATCAACTGCAGAATTCTTCAATGATTATGTCATAGAGATAATATCCGCTACGACTTGCTAAGGACAGGAAGCGTCGAGATCACCTCGAATAAAATCCTAGAGCGTGGATATCTTGATGCGGTGCGGCCCATATCTCACACGATATCAATGCCATGTATTCGAGTATTCTCTTTTATAGCCTCCTCCAGCATATTTCACTGTTTATCCTCGCACAGAGGCTCCTCCACAAGCGCGGCAAGTTCCCCAAGGACAGACAACAGGTTTAGCACCGACCCCGAAAGAGAACCTTATAGCTCGTTACAAGCTACAAGACAGAGTGACGACTTCCACTTTATCACCGGATGACGATCTTGCCTTTGGCAAAGCGAACTGGGAGGACACGTCAGAGAAGCGCGAGGCCAGTTTGCAGGAGAGGAAAGCACAGATGATTTTGGCTGCCAGACAGTGCGTCTCTATCCTTGTAGTCAAATGCCCTTGCCTTATTATTAATCCCAAGGCGGTTACTGGCGCAACAAGCTCAGAAGGAAGAGGCAGGCGGGGCATCAAGTTCTTCGTCGCACTAAACATCCCATCGCAATAATATGTACTCGCAATAATTATTTAGATTCCCTGACTTGCACCATAGTGTTACCCAAACCCTTCACTCGTTGTTTAGCCCATGCAATCTATGGCTCATCAAATTGGACTGAAAGGTCCAGTATCATCATTTGACGACAACGAGTTATCTTCATCCTACCAATAGCCGATGGTGATAAAATCATTGCCTTGGCGGTCCTTAAGCGTATCAAGCGCGATTGTTCATGATGCGGGTTTTTTCATTATGAATTATACCCAACCGAGTGGCGTGGACGCACGTCATCGTGCCCTAACAAAGTTCTGACAGATTCTCGGGATGGCATCCGCCACTTTTCAGACCAAGGCACAGTACAAATCCAAACCTAATTGCGAGTTGTAATGGAAAAAAACCAGCATCCACGCAGACTTCATGTATCACAGCTCACAATCAGGTTCGTACCGTGTCTGAAAGAGACAGGTAATATTCAACAAAAGGAACGTTAAAGATGATGAAACGGTATCTACCTGACAGTTCATGTCGCTATCGAGGATAAAATCATAATCTGGGCTTGTGGTCAGACTTCCTTGTAATCTTCGAATGTCATGACGAGTCTCTCCCAACGGTTTACTGACCCACGAGAACTAGATAGCATCTAATCCCAGTCGGGTGGTGGAGTACGAAGGTTATGTACTTGAGACGCTCAGCGCATCCTCCCATCAAAACCACCAGATGTGAAAGCAGTGCCAGTGATGAGGCACTGCGAATCCCTGCAAACCACAAGGAACATGAGTAAACTGGCCTGATAAGCAACCAAGGACACCCGACTTCCATTCCAGAGTGGCCCCCATGCTCGGCTGGTATGCACTCGGGGAATTTCTTGATGCTAGCCCCAAAAGTACGCACCTGGTGGTCACCTCGCAGTCAGGATCGTCATAACCTGAGAAACTTTCGGCGTTAATTAGGAAAGTTCAATGCATGCACGATGTATGTAACATGTACATAAACCATGAGGTCAGATGCAAGAGATTCTAGGATCCGGTAGAGCTTAGCCATGAGATACCACGACTAATGTGAGTCGCGATCATAACCGTCATGTTCCACGATACTCTGTCTGCGTTAAAGAGGTAAAGCAATTCAGCGAGTCATCGGGGCTGCCAAAGTACGATAGGATGCTCAAGCCTCATTGAGATAAACAACTTGAGAGGTCGATATCCATAGAAAACGCTTGGAGGTTCTTAACACGTGACGTCCTCGTGCTTGAAAGGTGGGACGATACCGGCACCGTAATTCACAAGCATGAGGGCCCTGAGGGGAGCATTCAACTTCATAGTAGCGACGGGGTTAACGTATCAGCGATGCAGCAACCATACGAAACCTTGGAGACATGAGGTGGAAGCACCAAGGTGGACTCGTGGGCCAGTTTGTTTCCGCTCCGCATGTGATCCAGTAGTTAGGCATTTCCGCTGGGTACATTGATGTGCCATATGCTATGTAGGTAACGCATGAGAAAAGTAGTCAGATGCTCGAGGGCCATGTCCAATTCTTCCAGGTGATCATATGACGGCTTTGAAGCCTTTAAAGCTTCTGTTTTGACCTGAAGAAGACAGTTAAGCTTTAAACTTTCCGAGTACTTTCCATAATAGGCTGGGAGATCTCCAGGACAATCACCGTGCGATTTCGGACTTGCTTGCTGCTGCACAAGTGCGATAATAATGCGGATATCGATCGATAACGTTGAGTAGGTATGCATGCATGTAGAATTGGGGGCGGCGGCAGGATACGTGTAAGTAGTATATGGGGGAGGACACGAGATAATAATAAAATGGAGTAGTATTATTTATATACCGTAATCGGAGACTGAAAATGAGAAAGTTTGTGGTGAAGTTGTAGGACTTGGACACTTTGTTGTTCGTCGTCGTTATGGACGATGGTGAGCGAGAGCAAGCACACAACTGGCTGCTCGCTGACGACAACAGACTCTTCTTTCTCACCTTCTCTTCACTCGCCCTCGCTGTTGCCTCCATCTTGCTCTGGCGGGCAAAGTACGTGGACAACTATCCCGTGAACGACAATCCCGACTCCCAGCAAGCTCATTCCATCCTCACCGCCGCTCTTTCAACTTTTCATATTGCTAGTCACAGTACTCCTGGTGAGTTCGATATGACTGTCCCAGAGAAACCGGGCACTCCGGAAGCAGCCACTTCAGCCACCACAGAGCTCGAGCAGAAGGCTTCCCGGTCCAAGGAGCGACGCAGAAGAGGAAAAGTCCCGTATAAGGAGATTATTAAGGGCGGGAAGAAGACAAAGTCTACCCCAAAGGCCACTCAGTCTAAACTACCCGCTCACAGTCGTAGCGAATCACCGGCTCTTGAGATAGAGTCCAAATCCTCCTCAAGTAGCGATAATATCGTGCCAGTCGCGCCATCCACTTCGTCTTTAGCTTCACCTGCTTCGGATCTCCCTGAAGAACATCTGGTATCCCCTCTGAGCGCAGAATCACCCCCGGCGGGTGAACCACATGAGGACCGTTCCCTACCTGCTTGCATGACGGCATCCAGTTCTGAACCAGCATCCGTTTCGCGTCACAATACAGTCACGTCCCATAACTCCGCCATGCGCACTTCACGTTCTGAGCATACGCAGCTGCATGACACGGTCGACAATGTACAACCTGCCAGCAGCCCCTGTCACGATGATCCCGCTCCCTCCATTCCAGAATTATCTTCTCCAACCACCTCCACAGCGCCATTGTCAGAAGATCATGATAGTCATGAACGTATATCCTCATTCACTTCCTACTCTCAATCTCAGTCTATGCCACTCCACGCATCCACATCTACCCACGCGTTGGATTGGGATGGACAATCACAGGCATACACAGCAGACGCTCTCACTAAGCCTCCACGGTTAACGCCTAAGCAGCGTGGAGCTGATAAGTCCAATGGGAGTTGCGCGATTTCGACCTCTATCTCGCACAGTGCCCTCTTGGCATCCTCATCAGCCTCTCACTCCATTCCTCCGGCACGAATCACGGTATCCAACTCTGCATCCGCATCCAGTTCCCCCTTGTACCCAAATCCGGGATCGACTATTGGACTACCGCCATCTCCCTCCGGCTCTTCCCCACAACCTGCTCCTTCGCCAACACTTCCACATTTTACATTTCCCACTTTGAACCCTCTTCAAGCGTCTCCTAATGATCACACACATACCCATTTGAACACAATTGAAAGTCCAATCATGAACGGAAAGAAAGCGGCTGGCCCCCCAATACCAAGTGCTTCGCGAGGCTCGACGCCCCCACCAGGGGTATCTGTTCATACTGCACACATAGGTTCGCCTGCTGGCCCATTGAGTGCTCAAACACAGCTCGCATCCATGCGTGGTGCACTTGAGGCTGCGAGACTACGAGAAGAGAAGGCCCGTGCAGAGGCTGAACACTTGGGAAAAGAGAACGAAGAGTTAAAGTGGCGATGGAATGAGGATGCAATGGCTTGGAGGAGGAGAGAAGCCGAGGTGAGTATTCACTCTTCCCTGAGCGTCCCGTCGTGTGACGGTCTTCGTCATTATCATATACTCACCATGATCCCCAGCTACAGGCCCAAGTCCATCATCTCATGCAGCAGCTTCAGGCCGCATATTCCGTTCTTACAACCTTGCAAACCCAGGCGCAAGCTCAAGCACAATCTCCCGCACAGTCCTCCTCATCTTTCTCGTCTCCCCCATCCCCTTCCCCACGCCTGCATCCTCACAGCCCCAGTCTCTCGCACAACGGCCTTCCCCCAACTTTCAGCCACAATCCACCCGCACACGTTCAAGCACTTCTTGCATCATCCTACCACCCATACCCCGGCTTTCCAGGCGCTTATGGCGGTACAGGAATGTCGCCCTTATTTTTCTCGGGTCTCAGAATGACCATGAGTCCGGGAAGCAGCGTGAGGAATGGAAGTGCAGGCGGAGGAAAAGATCAATATACCCCCGATACGTCTTCTTCAGTAGGGTCATCGCCATCGCGTGGAAGGCGACGACGACGCGGTTCCGAATCTTCCTCTACTGAGGAGAATATTGGCGAAGGCATCGTTATCAGCGAAGCAGAAGAGGACCAAGAGGACATATGGCAGAATAGTATATTGGCAGATGCGATTCTAAAGCGGCCTGAAAGCCTGCGCGTGCCCAGTCGAGGGAGTCTTCGATCGGATGGACGCAAGAGTGCTATGGGGGGCGGGACGAGTGGGAAAGAGGACGCAGGGCGTGTGCCTAGCCGGATGAGCGAGAGATCGGATGCTTCTACGAGCGGAGGCAGTTATGGGATGAGTATGTCTAGCTTGTCGTGGGGTAAGAGCGAAGATGAGGCAGGTGGTGTTGTTGGAGAGGGTGGTTCTACTTCCGCAGAAGGTACAACAGCTGGCGGAGAGGGTACGTCAGATTCCAATGCACCGACACACGACCCATCAACGCTAGCTCCTGCGAAAGACGTTCAATAACCCCGAAGGCTGGTATTTGACTTATAACGTATTCTATCCCTCTCTGCACCCGTCCACGTTTCTTCCACCACTTTCGTTTCTTCCTTACGATACGATCCATGGGGACTTGATTTTTGACGTCAGCCTGTATAATAAGGTATACTTTCTTATTGTCATAATAGTTGAGGCTTTAAATCTGGAACTGCTGAAGTCTACTTGTTCTTATGTATGCCCCTGAGTCGGGCCCCTATTTTCGACCTAATGCACATACCACCGTCAGGTCCAGGAAGACCGGAACTGCCCCTCTAAACGCCCGAACGAGTTTGATGCGTAGAATTATGAAATACACTGCCAGGCTTCTGTTCTGCTGCCGTTCTGGTTGAAGACTATCCTTGGCTTACTTCCGAACCTCGTCGAGTCAGCTGAAAGCCTGAGTCCTTGCAAGCCTGCCTCACAGCGAGAATATACTATACCCGTGCCCAATGTTAAGCTCTAAGGACATATTTGCTTGTCGGAGATGGTCACATTGTCCGGTGGAAGGTGAACATGTCGGACGTGGCTTGTTTGAAAGTTGACCTTGGCCCTCGAATGCCGATATAAGTGCAGAATATACAAGGAGCTGGTTGCTGAGCTAGTCGTGCTTGAACATCTATAAGACTTCAAACGAGAAGCTATCTAGACGGGCTGAGTCACCAGGCTAAGTGATAAGTATCATCTCCTTGGCTAGGGGAGGCTATGTAGAGTCAGCTAAGTACTTACGAATTCTGGTTTGTTATCCTTATGATTCGTCGAAGCTGATGTTGATGGGCTGATCATTATGCCATAGTGAAACCTTCCCTCCTCGTCAAGTTCTCTGATCCACGACTCAGTGCATTCTGCACAGTACTCCACGAATCTCATGATCACCCCCAGCTGAGGCGATATTTTGAAAAAGGAAATCCTATTTATTGTCATTGGAAGTATTGCCCTAGGAAGTCTAAGACAGCAATATTTTCAATTTACATGAGTCCCATACTTTAATCAATGATACAATAATTCTGCCAAGCTCAATCATCGATATCGCCGTCCTCGTAAGTTATGTATATAGTGAATAGTAGGCAGGTGCAATATTCCTTATACATCATAGTGCATCAGATTGGAAAGGGTGAGGCGATATCAACCGTGTCTTCGAGTCGAGAGAACTCTGATTTACTGATATGAACAGCATGCTTGTTATCCCAATCCAAGATCTTTTCAAATTCCTGCACTGATGCCGGGTGTTGAAGTTGGGGTAGGGGCTCTTGTGTCCTTCCACCCAGTCCCATGTGATCATCGTCACGTCGGCATTGCACATGATATTCTGCCTCATCATTTCGATGCAGTGATCTGAAGCGTAATGGTATTATAAGCAGGGGTACTTCAAGTCAACATGAGTATTTACCAAGATGCATACGGAGTATTTCGGGGGGATTCTGGAACGAAGGTTCTATTGGCCCGTAATACTCAAACCAAGTGGCTTTGCGAAGCAAGTTCTACAGAACTGTTAGTCAAGAATGACCAGACTCTCGTAATTGTATAGCTTGCCAGACAATGCAGTTGGTGGGTGGATTCC